AACCCACAGATGTTCTATGGGGTTGAGGTCCGGACTAGATGCTGGCCATGGGAGCACAGAGTACGGCTGCTCGGCAAGGTAAGTTTTGACCATCTTGCATGTATGCTTCGGGTCATTGTCATGCTGGAACACAACGGTCTCGGGATCCAACTCGTAATGCTCAATAGTCTGCTGCAGCTCGTCTTGCAGGATTGAACGGTACAACTCGCCGTTCATTCTTCCCTCTATCTTGCACATGAAACCCCCGCCGTTGTATGTCATGCACCCCCAAATCATGATGGAGCCGCCGCCATGTTTGACGGTCTTTTTCACATGGTGCGGCTCCATGTGACAGTCCTCCCTAATCCAGGCCCAACTACGGCCGTCGCTACGAAACCGGCTGATCTTCGTTTCGTCGCTCCACACCACGCGTTTCCAGTCGTCGATCGTCCAGTGCTGATGGTCCTTGGCCCACTGCCTGCGGTCTTTGACATTTTTCGCGGATAATCTAGGCTTCGACAGCTTTTCTATCGCCCTAACTCTGTGCCGCTTGAGAGTGTTTCGCACGGTGGCGCCCGTGACACTAATGCCGTGCGTAGAGGATATCATTCCCGCTGCGGCCTCGGCGGATTTCGATTCACCAGACACTATCGACCTTATAACTATCCTCGCGATTTGCTCTGGTAACTTGCGCGGCCGACCAGGTTTCGCCGGGGACGGCACTAGCTCGTCGAACGTTTTCGGACCAAGGTGGCGGAGGAGCTCGTCATGGACGGCAAACTTTGAAACTCCCAACTCCTGCGCAATTTGGCGGTAACTACGCCCCTCCGCAATTCGCTCCATGATGCGCTTCTGTTTCTCCTCGCTAAGGCGCTTCATGCTGCGGGGGTGTTAGCGCTACTCGTAGATCGTAGTATCCGCCCTTAATCTCCTATGAACCTAACTAGTCTAGATCTAATAGCGCACGAAATAAGTCGCGGGACATTTCGGAAGGATTTGTCCGTGTGGGGTGTCGAGAGGGAAGAGCTGACTCATTAGAGCAAGAGGTTTTTTTGGGGCTATAGGTAGCCTATACAAACTCGTAACTGTCAATCGCGAACCCTGTATGCAATATGTTTATTACAAAACTTGTTTAGGCCCCAATTGGGTGCAAGTTATCATACATTTCGAATGCATAAAGACAATAATTTCGTTCAGTGTACCTGAGGAGGCTTGGTAGCCAGCGTGTACCGACTCGACCCTGGCCGACGAGTGAACGTAGCCAGGTGACGCCCCGTCCGTGTGCACGTGCAGATCGACACACGCTGACCCCCAGGAGTGGTGGTAGTGACCATCGCATCCTGAAGGGCAGCTGTACTCACCAAGTTTGTAGAGAACGAGGGGAGGTGAAGGCCTGACAGTGAGCCGGACGGAACCGCCGAACATGGGAGCACTGTGGAGGAACGGGCAACTACCGGGCCCCCAGAGGGGTCAGCCAGTCTGACCGGGACAGGTGCAGGGAGAGGAGTGAGAGTGGTGCTGTCACGAAAGAAACAGCGCGAGGCGCCGGAGTCCAACGTGAAGGTGTGCAAGGCCTCAGCAGGCGCAGTACCAGGGGGAGTACCAGACGCACTAGCATCAAGAGCAGCAGCCGCTTTACCTGGGTCAGGTGGCACACACCGGTAACAGTCACCCTCAGCACAAAAAGACAAAGCATACATGGCAGAGATAATAGCATCATAGTGTAGGTCAAAGATAGCAACTCCCGACCTAAGCAACTCCGCCCAACAAGGGCGCTCGACGTCGTCACCAAACTCAGCACGCTAGGCGTCGTCAAGGCGGGCGAAGCAGCGGTGCTCAGTGTGAAGCCTCCCGCATGTCTGGCCCGCACGGACACCCGTGCGAATGACATACGGGCAGCTCTCACTACCCCCACCCGGCCCACGCTGAACCAACCACTCACAGAGCTGCTTAGGCGACTGGGTCTCGCTCCGACGTTGCTGTTGCTGTCGCTGTCCACCACCAGGGCCTCCACGCCGAGGTCCAGACCTGCCACCACCAGTCCCACCGCCTCCACTGCCGCCACTCCCTCCGCTGCCTCCACTGCCGCCACCAGAGCCCCCACTGCCGCCACCAGTCCCACCGCCGCCACCACCTCCACTGCCTCCACCACCTCCACCGCTGCCCCCACCACCGCTCCCATTGCCACCTCCACCACCACCGCTGCCTCCTCCACCACCCCGTGTGAGAGAATTGAGGAATGATTGAACTAGAAACGAGGTGGGTACAAGTAGAGAACACAAAAGTGTTGTACCCTCTAAGAACTACCCCACTACAGCCTAAACAGACTATAGTAGATATAAGTTTGACACACCCCCATAGGCAAAGTGGGGGAGAACAAGAGGTCACAAGACCAGTCAAGAAAGACAAAGCAAGCTCAGGGTGGATCACAAAGTCACCACGCAGTCTGAGCACAAGCAAAGGGCCGCAAGGCCAGTTCACATGCAGAGTTATATAAAGGAAAGCAAACAATACAGTGAACACAACCTAGCAATATAAGCATGCAGGTATAAGTATAGAGTACAGTACAAGCAGAGTCAAGAAGTCAACAAGTGAGGCACAGTAGGTACAAGGCCTAACACAGTACAGAAACGCTGATGATCACAAGGCTGAAGTGCCTTGGTGAAAACATCAGCAGTGTTGGCTTGAGAGGCCACGTAAGCAAGACGAAGCTGGCCACGCTGCTGCAACTCTCGAGCAAGAAAGTAGCGCAGAGCAATGTGCTTCCTTCTGTGCTCCAGTCTGTGCTCCTGACACAAGGCCAGCATGGCCTTGTTGTCGACGTACAGAACTGGAGGAGACCGAGGTGCCCCTCCCAAGTCGGTCAGAAGGTAGGGGAGCCAGCGAAGCTCCTGTGCAGCCATGGCTCCAGCGTAGATCTCAGCCTCACAACTGGAGCTGAGAACAGAAGAAGAGCGGGTAGACCGCCAAGAAACAGAGCCGGAGCCAAGACTGAAGGTGTAACCCTGTGACGACCGCTGCGTAGCCAAGTCGTCAACCCAGGAGGCGTCAGCGTGACCAGTGAGGACAACTCGAGCCCGTCCTCCAAGCACGAGCCCCATGCCCGATGTACTGCACAAGTATCGCAACACCCTCTTTGCAGCATCCCAGTGCACCTTTCGGTGCCTGCCGGGAGCCATGTAGCGAGCCAGAAGGCTGAGAGGGTATGCGAGGTCAGGTCGTGTGCAGGTCATCAGGTACATGAGGCAGCCCACAAGCTCTGGATACGGGCCACTCGGCTCTACGGACTCGTCCGAAGGTGGAGCTGAGAGCGAGTGACCGGTAGGCAGAGGAGTGGACTGTGGCGAGGAGTACGTGAAGCCGAAGCGCTGAAGGACCTGCTGCACCATGTGTGACTGAGTCAAGGTAATGGTGCGCTGTGCTCTGTCCCGGGTGATCCGCAAGCCAAGATAGCTTGTCAGTTCACCCAGGTCTGTGCACGTGTGTCTCTTCTGCAGCTCGGACTTCACGTGGGCGAGTACCTCAGTGTCAATAGTAGCAAAGACGAGGTCGTCTACGTACACGAGAACGTAGAACGGCGGCAGAGTAGTGTCAGTACGTAGAAACAGAGAAGGGTCAGCAGTGGAAGGAGCAAAACCAAGAGCAGCAAGAGTCGTCCTGAGTGTGTCGTGCCACTCACGGGGTGCCTGGCGGAGACCGTAGACTGGCCGCCGGAGGCTCCACTGGGTACCAGCAGGAAACGACCCAGTGAAGCCAGGTGGGCGGCGCAGCCAGATCTCCTCGTGCAGGCTGCCCTGCAGGAAGGCTGTGCTGAAGTCAAGCGAGTGGAGCTCGTAGTCACGCTGAGCAGCAACGTGCAGCAGTACCCGAAGAGTGGTCATCTTCGGGGTAGGGGAGAAGGTCTGAAAGAAGTCAACTCCCTGTCGCTGACTGAAGCCACATGCAACGTAACGCGCCTTGAAGGCAGGCGGAGAACCCGGCGGCCGCTTCACCCTGAAGATCCACATGCCACTGACGATGTTCGCCCCAGGTGGGGGAACCTCGTCTACGTAGGTGCCTGTGGACTTCCAGGAAGCCATCTCTGCATCCATGGCTGCCTGCCACTGAGAGGAGTAGGGACCCTCTATCGCCTCTGCGTAAGAGCGCGGGGTCGGGATGTCTAGTGCATCCGGGTCTCCCTCAGGGGTCAGCAGCATGGACACGAGATGAGGTACAGAGGCAGCAAAGCACTCAAACTCCTCCTGTCTGTCCTCAAGAACGTCCGTGCCAAGAGCACACTTACCCCCGACGGACGGAGGACAGACAGACACAGACGCAGACTCAGCAACAAGACTAGCGGCGTAGTCTAGGCGACAGGCGGCAGCAAAGTCAACAAGCTCAGCAACAAGAGCAGACGCAAAAGAGGACTCAAACAGAGGGTCAGTGACAGCAGTGGCCAGAAAGCGCGTGACAGTAGGACTAGCAGCACGAAGGGAGTCAGACGCAGGGTCAGGACCGTCAGGAAGAGAGGACGCAGGAGGAGACGGCAGAGGGACACGCTGTGGAGCAGTAGAAGGACGCAGAGTCATAGAGTGGGTGCCAGGGACAGGAGGAGGACGCGGACGCGAGACACGAACAGCGCGAAGAGAACGGACAGGAGACGTAGAACGAGACACAGGCGACACAGGACGCGACTCAGCGACACAGGCGAACGGACAGCTCCGCCCCCGCCCCCCTCCCCCCCCCTCCCCCCCCCTCCATGGGGACGGGGGGGAGAGGGTGTGAGGGGGTGGCGGATGTGCCTCAGCAGCAGCAGCTGCCGCCGCGCCTCCTCCTCTCTCTCTCCCTGCCGCACCTTGTGTTGGGAGAGGGGGGGAGCTTGGAAGTTCAGGGGGGGGCAGGAGGGGATCTGCAGCACCAGCCCCCCCCCGCCCCCCCTTTTTCCTCCATCCTTGGGGGGTGAAGGATTGTGGAGCGGCAGTGGGGGGGAGGGGATCTGCAGTACCAGCCCCCCCCCCCCGCCCCCCCCCCCCTCCCTTCTCCTACCTCCCCCTGCTGCGGGTGCAGCAAGGGGGGGGGAGGGGATCTGTAGCACCAGCCCCCCGCCCCCTCCCCCCCCGTTCTCCTACCTCCCAATGCTGCAGGTGCAGCAGTGGGGGGGAGGGGATCTGCAGCACCAGCCCCCTCCCGCCCCCCCCCTCGCCCTCCCTTCTCCTACCTCCCCCTGCTGCGGGTGCAGCAGTGGGGGGGAGGGGATCTGCAGCACCAGCCCCCCGCCCCCCTTCTCCTACCTCCCCCTGCTGCGGGTGCAGCAGTGGGGGGGAGGGGATCTGCAGCACCAGCCCCCCCCCCCCCCCCACCCCCCCTTTTTCCTCCATCCTTGGGGGGGAGGTGGCGTGGAAGGGGTGGCCGCCGTGAACCACTACAGCCCCACCCTCTGCCCTGCCTCTCCCCTCCCGCGGCTGCTGCTGTGGGGGGGAGGTGGCGGGGATGGGGGGTGGGGGAGAGGGGGCAGGCCGCCGTGTGAAGATCAGTGCAGGGACTATTGTGGGTGGGGCAGGGGTTGGAGGAAGGAAGGGGGGAAGGGGGGTGAGATACAAGGGGGCAGCTGATAAGGGGGGTGAGATTAAGGGGGTGGTTCAATTGAGGGTGAGGACTTGGGGGTTGTTAAGAGGGCCGGCCGGCAGTGAACTGTCACGCTCATGCACGCTCCCCCACCTCCTCTCCTCATCCCTCACTCACCTCCCCCTTTGTAAAGGGGGTTAGTAAGAGGGATGGCCGGCAGTGAGCTGTCATGCTCATGCACGCTCCCCCACCTCCTCTCCTCATCTCTCTCACTTACCTCCTCCTTCGTTCTTATCTCCTCTCCCCTCCTCTCTCTCTCTCTCTCTCTCTCTCTCTCTCTCTCTCTCTCTCTCTCTCTCTCTCTCTCTCTCTCTCTCTCTCTCTCTCTCTCTCTCTCGCATCCTCCTCCTCACTTACCTCTCTGCCGTCTTCCACTGCACCGGGTGTACCCCTTCAAGGGATGTTTTACACAGGTTTTCTCCTGCAGGCAGTTATGGGGGTGTGTCAGAAAATATAATTATATGTTTTGTTATATAACTGCCTGTAGGATTTACTGTAGTATAGCTCCTATTGTTTGGTGGTGCACCTTTGTTCATTTTGCTATATGTACCTTGTGTGCTATAGTGAAACCATCATTCCTCTCGACATTCTCCTTTCCATCCTCCCTCGACACTCAACTCTCTCGACACTCACTAGCCATGGCTCCTAAGTCTAGCTACTATTCTAACAACATGATGGCGTTACTTGGGGTCCCTTCGAGGTAGAAAAAACGCGACAACAACTGCAGCGGTACTACTACTGGCCTGAGCTGTTGACCGACGTGCAGCACCACGTAGGATCGTGCCCTATGTGTCAGGTGATGAAAATTTCGCGGAAGGAGAAGGCGGGTCAATTACAACCAATTCTGCCACCCGAACGAGTCTGGCAGCAGGTGACCATGTATTTTATCACGGAGTTATCAGCGAGGCCCAATGGTAACGACGTGGTCGTGGTCGTTGTTGGGAGGCTGGCGAAAATGGCTCATTTCGCTGCGTTCAAGAAATCGATCTCGGCCGATGAACTGCTCGCCTGTTCATTGCAGCCATTGTTCGCCTTCACGGCATACCAGCAGCCATCATCACAGACAGGGACACGAAGTTCACAAGCAACTTCCGGAAGAATCTTTGGGAGCACTTCGGGGCGTTCAGTTTGTCCTACCACCACGAGACCAACTGACACACCGACAGAACGAACCAGACCATGGGGCAGCAGATTCGCGCCATGTATGACGACCCCAGAACATGGGAGAAGAAGTTGTTGTTGATCAAGTATGCATACAACAACGCCACGTCAACAACCACCCATCAGCCGCCGTTTTACGTGAATAATGGGCAAAGCCCTATAGCGCCCATGACGCCGAGTCCGGACAACCCAACACCACGTGAAAAAAAACAGTTCGCCGATTGTATATGCATTCAAAGGGGCGAATGTCATCGCTAAGAGAATCGCCGATCGCCACCGCCGCCTTGTCGCGTACCAGTCAGGAGTCTACATTCCGCTCGACACCCAGAACCTACGCCTGCCTGTCGTGCCAAAACTTCGACCTCGCTACTGTGGCCCGTTCCATATGAGCCACATGCTTACGCCGCAACGCCCATCTCACCGACTGGTACATCAGTCCATCATTCTACGCCAGTCTCCTTCGCCTCTACATCCTGACCATAAGCCAACTACTACGACAAAGACCACCCGCGATGGCGCGTCCTGCATCGGAGCCCATCATTAAAACTTCGAGTCATCGGATTCGTCACCCCCATGGATCTTGAAGGATCGAATTCCTCGTCCGCTGGGAAGATGGCACCTCAACCGAAGACAGCTGGGTGCCCCTAGGCAGCATAAAAAATCACCCTGTCCTCCAAGTGTACATGCGAAGCTGGTGATTTTGCGATATGCACGCACTCGTATAGCGGAGGGGCTTCTTGGGGAGGTGGGTAGCGTAAGGATTTTCCCAACATTCTTTATTGCGCACATTAGCAACGCGTACAAGACCAATCGTTTCTTTGCCCGTTACTGCTAACGGTGTTCGCCACATTCGCGCGTCACTTTTGCCAAACCTCGCACTGTTGGACCTACGCTTTGGGACTACCCCGAACCTCGCCGCCAGCATGACACTAGCTAGCTCGCACGCACCTGGCTACCGTTGACTTTTTTTGCTATAAATGTTAGCTCACATGTTTGCCCACATTTGTACTCATTTGATTCATTAGTGCAAAATCTTCACTAGCTCTTTCAACTGCACCCGTAACAAATATCGAGTTAAACACCTACCTCACGGACAGCCTCCTACAGATATATCGAATCGAATACGTCAATGTATTACACTTGGTAGCGTCGGTAGCGCTCGGTAGCACTACCGTTCTGCTAGATGATGCTACCGAGTGAGTCAGCATGCTGACCGCGGGCAGAAAAAAACTAAAACCCATTCGGACTCCATGCCGTTCGGGAGCCTCAACCCTAAAATTTTAGGATCGAACCTCAACCTGAATGGCATGCCTTCCGAGTGGGTTTTATTTTTTTCCTTGCCCGCTGACTCATTGCACTGCGTGCTCATTGCACTGCGTGCTGACGCACGCAGTGCAATATATTTGCCAATGCGAGACGTCTAAACCCTGGCGCACGAGATGTCAGCGGCGGTGGTGATCTCAAGGGTGCGTGCAGTCCACGTCTGGATGAATTGTCACGTGCGCCTCCAACTGATGACCATTGATTCCTCTGTCCAATCCATTGTGGAAGAAGATGGGCCATGTTGTTGCTCTGAATATGTTACAGCCAATGCGCGCAGCCGATCGGGGTTTCCAGCCAACCAGATCTAACGTGAAGCGAGGCATCTATCAGAATGGGATTGTGCGAGCTGACTAGACTGATGCCCTGGGCACAATAAAAGTCGGCAGCTCTCAGGTGGACGTTCGAGAATGACGAATCTGTTGCATGTGAGATGCATGTGAGACCTAGCTCGGTCAGTTTGATATGATCGCTTCAAAATCTTCATCCTACGTCAACTCCAGTCCACTCCATTCCACCCCAGGGAATCCCTCTCAAACCAGCCTTACCATCATGTCCCCGTTGCCCTAAGGCGTAGGGAGGGCGTGAAAACTTCATGCGAAAAAGCAGAACAATCGTAAATGAGGATGGGTCTAATGAGACTTGGTACGATCAGGAACGCTATTTTGAAGATTTAGAATGGTTGGGTAGGGTAATATTGGTTCAAGAACGTAATATCGGGTCAAAAACGTAATTTCGAGGAAAAAACGGTATATCGGCTTCCATTCCCTAGCCCTCCAAGGGTTAGGTTTAGCTCTTCAGCCTCATGTGTAGCACATGCTTTTTAGAAATTTCTGTGCAAAACTCGGCACGCGTAGTACGCGAAGATGTTCAAAACTGTTGGGTATCCTGGTCGGTCACCTTTGGAGCCTCCTCGACCCCGAGGAAATCTTGAGGTTGGTTTTTTATGGGAGGGGGGTGGAGGGGGAGTTTTTACGGATGCCGTAAGTGTCGCGTTCTACACCCCGCACTTCATCCTTTATCGCAGTCCGCACCCATTTCAGTCATTTCAGGTTTACTGTCTGGACCACTGGCTGAGCATGGGGGTACCGTTTACATTATAGTTACGAAAATGTTACTCATAACGATAGTAGTTTACTCCAGGGCACGAGGTAGACACTTCCGAAGTGTCTGTAGCTGACTTCGCTCCAAAGCCGATCAGGAGTTTCACGATGTTGATCACGATGAAGAAAAAAGCTGGTGATGTCATATCATCTTGTCGGGTCGTTCTAATGCGCTCTCAGGACGTGACGTCCGGAGTCCCAGAACTTTAGGCGGCTCTTAACAGGAACGGCGGGTCAACTAGCCTCTTGGCTTACTGAAAACTTTAGAGATATCTTACTCGTGACCATTTCACGACATGCGCGTAACCTCGTGACACCTCGACCTTCTTATCGAAGTTCCAGGTGAAGAATGTCGCCCCAGGTGAAGGAATCTGCTATCGATGCCGACATGATGCAGGAGATTGTTCGTGCTGATGGCTACATTTGGTTGAAATACGGTCAAAAGCATGTTCACTACACCTACATTACTCGGTAAGCTGGTTGCTATCGATAATTGTGGCCTGACATTTACTGGTAGTTTGGCTAAACTTTATCTAAAAAAAAAAGAAACCCAATATCGAATTAATGGCTGCAGCGATAAACACGCTCACAGAGGGAAAATGTATCGTGAGGTAATAAGTATGACACCTAACACTTATGACGACGCCTTCCATGACCCTCGTCCGGCAGGTGCTACTACAGGTGCTCGTGCTATAAAGGCAAGTCCTCCTGCAGAGCTAAGAAGACCGTGGAGTACGACCGGCGAAGAGACTATATGTTGTCGACAATTCACATCAACTACAGCAGCCCCCACCACAACCACCCGCCTCCTCTCGAGAAACGCATCTGCGAGGAACCGAGCCGTCCAGACAGAATGCACCCTGTTGCCGAGGCACCTGAGAAACAGACCAGGATATGTTCACCCCAGAAGCGCCATAATTATGACAATGCTTCCCCTGCTGCTGCTCCACCTGAACCTTCGGCAACAGAAAGCGGCTGTTCTGCTTCCTGCGCTGTCAACGCCAATCTTCATTCTGTTTCTGACCCGCAATCAGTGCAACATGATGATGCTCCCGCAGTGCTCACTCTTGCTGCTACTGCAGCCATATCCGCCAGCAGCGCTGCCATAGCTCCAGAGAACGCAGCCGGTTCCTCTACAGTTTCTAATCATGTTTTCCAGCGGTGCCCTGCCCCAGTAAACAATGAGGATGCTGAAGATAATTCCCAAACAGCTGCCGATGCCGCTGGTTGTTCTTCGAAATGTGGATCCAGCCTGGAAGGCGCCCCGATTGGTGAAGCTCCTTCTGTGCAGCTCATTGGGAGCAGCATTCTCCTCGATCACAGCAGCGTTACACCATCGATTCGGAACAGAGAATTCAGTGAGTGGAGTGATGGTGGTTTGCTCGACAGCACACCGTGTGCTAAAAGAGCTAGGCGCACTGATTCAGCCCCCGCACGCTTCAGTTCCAGCCCTGTTTTCATTGAAGCTGCTGGTACTAACGAGGTCCAGCTTCAGTATTGTTATGAGCTGGACGTCTTTGCTGCCGACATCGATTTTCCTATCCTGCCTTTGGACGTCTTTGATGAAGACGTTACCGTTTTGATCTC